CATATATCAGAGGAATTGTTTTATGTTTGCATGCTCAATTCTGCTCAAAGTCGAAGAGGAAGAAAACATTTCAAACTTCAGTGCCATTAATGACCTCCATGAATCTGTATCACACTGTGTTCTGTACATCTTGTCCTCAGAATATCGAACCACTTTTCACGTCATTCTTCACAAATCCTTCAAGCAGCTGGATCACAGCTCTGCTCTTATGCCTCGCCATCAAGCCCTCATATGCTGACTCACGGGTACTCAGATCAGGATGACTGTCGTCAAAGAAACCACAAGTGCCCGCCAATGCCATGATCAATCTAAGCTGCTAGGCAACCCTGATGACTATTCAGAGCCAGCCAATGTGGGTTCTAATGCCACAAGAGCTGATCAGAGAGGGAAACATATGATCCTGTGTCATTACAATCAGCATTTGGGTACAGTTATTGGGTAGAAGAATTTAGATGTGAATCTATACATAGAGATTTACTCATAAGTTTACTAAGTCATCATAAAGGCCTTTCTTTTGTTCAGTCCTTCTCCATGGAGGTATACTGACACAAAACACATGCATTACTGATCAAGACACAATAGCTACTGAAATTACACAAGATTTTCTTACATAGCTTGGTTTTTATTATTGTAACATCCCTGGACTGTTCTTAGTGTTCCTAATGTTTTACAAAAAAGCCTCCAGGGGTCTCATTTATAAACGTTGCGTATGCACAAAATGGGCATAGAAATTGCGTACGCAATTTTCCACGCACATATCGGGATTTATAAACAAACTTGGCGTAAATATGTACGCACCGTACAGACATTCTAGACCATGCGTACGCACTCGTTTTCCTGGAGAGAGAAAAGTAATGAAGTTAACAACGATTTTAAAATCTGTTTTCATTTCGATATACACATTTACATTAAGTATTCCACTCTCATTAATGGAGATAAGCACTGAAATTACATAAAGTCATTACGCAGAAGTTAAACAAAAATTATATGAATTTAGACATACAGTGGTGTGAAAAAGTGTTGGTCCCCTTCCTGATTTCTTATTTTTTTGCATGTTTGTCACACTTTAATGTTTCAGATCATCAAACAAATTTAAATATTACACAAAGATAATACAAGTAAATACAAAATGCAGTTTTAAATGATGATTTCATTTATTAACGGAAAAAAGCTGTCCAAACCTACGTGAAAAATGTATTGCCCCCTCCTGTTAAATCATGAAAGAACTGCAATTAACCACATTATTTTAGAAAGCCGAGTTAAATTTCACTAGCCACATGCAGGCCTGATTACTGCCAGACCTGTTGAATCAAGAAATCACTTAAATAGAACCTGTCTGACAAAGTGAAGCATGCTTAAATAGCAACACATTATGCCGCGATCTAAAGAAATTCAAGAACAGATGAGAATCAAAACAGTTGACATGTATCAGTCTGGAAAGGATTATAAAGCCATTTCTAAGGCTTTGGGACT